ACACGTACCCAAAATGTGAAATTTTAAGTAAAGCCTTATTTAGCACCTTTTAAAAAGTGTTTACAAAGTGCTTTAACTATGTAACATATATCCCTGCATTTTACTTAAGTAGTCTGTTATAGCTACTGCTATAAAAAGACCCCATTGATTAACATTACAATCTATAAGAATTGTAATGTAACAGCTCCTATACAACTCCAGGTTGTGGTAATTTACCACCCTCCTGGGTAAATTCTAGGTACCTTCCTAGAGGAGCTGGATGGGCTGCTGTCCTCATTCCCAGAGGATATCAGTCCACTTTTAGTCTTTGGTGACTTTAACATTCATCTGGACAAGCCTTATGCTACAGACTTCCTCAAAGAAAATTCATTCCTTGCTTCATTTGATCTCAAACGCCTTACCACTACAAGCACGCACAAATCAGGCAACCAACTTGACTTAATTTACACACGCAATTGTATTGCAGACAACATTTTGGTAGAACCTCTACATATCTCTGACCATTTCTTCTTTACATTTAAAATACATTTTGCTAACTGTGTGCCACCAACCCCTATACCAGTTACTTTTAGACAAAACCTACGGTCCCTTTCACCTTCCCATCTTTCCTCTGTAGTATCCTCCTCTCTTCCCTCACCTACCCATTTCTCATCTCTGGATGTGAATGCAGCAACTGACAATTTATGCTCTACTTTAACCTCTTGTCTAGACGGTATTTGTCCTCTCTCCTCCAGGCCAGCACGGGCTGCCCCTTCTAACCCCTGCTTATCCGATGTTCTTCATGAGCATCGGACCAAACTCAGGGCAGCAGAGAGAAAATGGCACAAATCAAAAGATCCATCAGACCTGAGTATGTATCAGTCTTTGCTTTCATCTTCCTCTGCTGAAGTCCATACTGCCAAATCTTCATACTTCCACAACAAGATCAACAGCGCTCCAGACACACGTAATCTCTTCAAAACTTTCAATTCTCTCCTCTGTCCCCCTCCACCACCTCCCACCACTTCTATAACAGCTGATGATTTCGCCACATTCTTCACAGACAAAACCAGAACAATCAGTAGTCAATTCTCAGCCCCACACACACATGACTTCAAACCAACCACACCCACTGCAAAAACTCCCATCTTCTCCTTCTGTCCCCTCACTGAGGCAGAAGTATCAAAACTTCTCCTCTCCAGCTATCCTACAACATGCCCTCTAGACCCAATCCCCTCACACCTCCTCCAAGCAATCTCTCCTACACTTTTACCAGCACTCACACACATCATCAATACATCTCTCCTCACAGGCACCTTCCCCACTGCATTCAAGCAGGCTCGGATAACCCCACTGCTCAAAAAACCTACATTAAACACTTCACTTACAGATAGCTACAGACCTGTCTCTCTCCTTACATTCATAGCGAAAACTCTCGAAAGAGTTGTTTTCAATGTATTCCCCAATTGTAAGTCGCTTTGGATAAAAGCGTGTGCAAAATGACTAAATGTAAATGTAGGTATTTAATCACATTTTGGTCATTAATAAGAGCATCTACACCAAACAGCATAGTTTTGCTCAGTCTATGCCTCTGAATAAAACTGAGGTACTATTTTCAAGAGTCATAAAATATGAGCCATAAAAGCTTAATAAATCAACTATGACAGCGGTTCTCAACCACAACCACCAACACTCATGCAAACTTTTAATGCATTCTTAAATATATATTGTTCAATAAGGTTCAATAAACTGTTCCATTAAAAAAAAAAAAATCTGATTATCATTACGTGTCAGGCATTACAGGGTTAAAGAAAACCATTATTATAATTTTTTCCCAATTCATGCACATAAACATCCTTGTGGTAGCCTGATTCCTTATTAGCAAATAAGAATAATTTATTATCAGCTTATGTTTTTCTCTTTCGAGTGCTAACTAAAGAGCTCTGACTTGTCATGAAGTGCAAGCCCACCATCAAGTGGTAAAACCTCAGCAAGACTGATGATACACAGGGCAACTTTGAGCAATTTTGTCAGGCAACTGAGTTTCACCTGGTTGCCCGTTGATGGCAACATTGCCCAAAAACATCTGCCTTTAGTGCTGATCCAGTAAGGAATGATTTAATAAATCATTTAATCAAACAACCATTAAGACAGAAAAATAAACCGCAAGCAACTGCATGCATGGTTTTAAGATGTTTATTTAAAAAATAAAATAGAAAAAAAATTACATAAAAATATTGAAGGAAAACAAAAACAATTCCTCCGTCTGACCTCTTAGATGATGGGCGGCCACATTGAGGGCTTTCAGTTAAGGATTGACAAGGAGTGCTTTTGGCCACTGCGATCGATGACGTCAGCAAAAAAAAGGGTTACATTTAAAATCCATCATTGAAATTCAATGAGGAGTGTCGCACTGTATCAAGCAAGTACATCACCACAAATGTCAAACCATTACAGAGTGAAACACTTCCACCTTTCCAACACACCTCCACAGATTCACTCAGGAAAAAGAGGGAGCCATTTTCATTCAGACAAAATCACAGATAAAGTAGGTCCTTATGTGAACCGAAGGAGGGGGAATGTTGCCTCAATGTCTGACCCATTTTGCAAAAGATGCTGGTTCTATCTCTTTAACATGAATCGCTTTATGTATTCCCCAATTGTAAGTCGCTTTGGATAAAAGCGTGTGCAAAATGACTAAATGTAAATGTAGGTATTTAATCACATTTTGGTCATTAATAAGAGCATCTACACCAAACAGCATAGTTTTGCTCAGTCTATGCCTCTGAATAAAACTGAGGTACTATTTTCAAGAGTCATAAAATATGAGCCATAAAAGCTTAATAAATCAACTATGACAGCGGTTCTCAACCACAACCACCAACACTCATGCAAACTTTTAATGCATTCTTAAATATATATTGTTCAATAAGGTTCAATAAACTGTTCCATTAAAAAAAAAAAAATCTGATTATCATTACGTGTCAGGCATTACAGGGTTAAAGAAAACCATTATTATAATTTTTTCCCAATTCATGCACATAAACATCCTTGTGGTAGCCTGATTCCTTATTAGCAAATAAGAATAATTTATTATCAGCTTATGTTTTTCTCTTTCGAGTGCTAACTAAAGAGCTCTGACTTGTCATGAAGTGCAAGCCCACCATCAAGTGGTAAAACCTCAGCAAGACTGATGATACACAGGGCAACTTTGAGCAATTTTGTCAGGCAACTGAGTTTCACCTGGTTGCCCGTTGATGGCAACATTGCCCAAAAACATCTGCCTTTAGTGCTGATCCAGTAAGGAATGATTTAATAATTAATCAAACAACAATTAAGACAGAAAAATAAACCGCAAGCAACTGCATGCATGATTTTAAGATGTTTATTTAAAAAATAAAATAGAAAAAAAAATTACATAAAAATATTGAAGGAAAACAAAAACAATTCCTCCGTCTGACCTCTTAGATGATGGGCGGCCACATTGAGGGCTTTCAGTTAAGGATTGACAAGGAGTGCTTTTGGCCACTGCGACAACAGACGTCAGCAAAAAAAAGGGTTACATTTAAAATCCATCATTGAAATTCAATGAGGAGTGTCGCACTGTATCAAGCAAGTACATCACCACAAATGTCAAACCATTACAGAGTGAAACACTTCCACCTTTCCAACACACCTCCACAGATTCACTCAGGAAAAAGAGGGAGCCATTTTCATTCAGACAAAATCACAGATAAAGTAGGTCCTTATGTGAACCGAAGGAGGGGGAATGTTGCCTCAATGTCTGACCCATTTTGCAAAAGATGCTGGTTCTATCTAAAGCAGAAACTGCTATTAGAGTTACATTTGCCCCATTGCATTGATAGGCAGGCGAGTCAAGAGTTACAAGGACAATCCGTAGTCTCCGTATCAGATATGACTTTGTAAAAGGCTTCACGTAAGTTTGTGGCAATCAAAGTCATTCCATACAGACCGCAAGTCATGGTTGTAGTATTGTAACAGCAGTAAAATAGTCCGGTTGATCTCCAGGAGGAAATATCTGCTCCGCAAAAACTCCAGACAAGACGTCCGGCTGTTTTTCCTCCATCGAAACAGACTGAACTTGCATACAGGAACTGTTCACGTGTACCTTGTTGCGTCGCTCTCAGGCCTGGGTCCGTTAACGGTCACTTTGACAAGATTTACAAGCAAAGGGCCGTCGTGAGGGACACAGGAAGAGGTGTTTTCAAAACTCCACTTGCATAGTAACAACCTGTATGCCTGTGATGTTCTGAGCAACAGCAATACAGTTTTAGTGTGCCATATACAAACAGAACCAAAAAAAACAATACAATACAGTACAGGAATAGGTAATTACCAAAAAGGCATATATTAGCGCAAGTACCTGGCAATAAATGCATGTCAAGATTCCAGAATGGAATCAAAATAAATTCCCTTTCTCCACTAGTCTGATTCGGGTGCCCGATCAGAAGTTGAAAAGGTCCGAGTAGGGCACCTTGCATAAAGCTGCACTGATCTGGAGTCCCCTCGCACGTTCATTAGAGCTTCCCTAAAATAATTCACATCTCACACTTACCTAGAGCGATTTAAAAAGGACAGACACACACACACACACACATATATAAATGAAAGCGCGTACAGACTAAGGGCTTGAGCATCGGTCGGTTCTCAATCTGTTAAATCCAAGTCCTAAAGCCTCAATTCTACACAAGTACAACCTTAAAGACGAACGAGACGAATAAATGCAACAGACGAGACTCTGAAGCTCAACACAAAGTGGGAAATGGCGACACCTGCAGGCAAGTCGTTCTGCGAGATCTACACTGGCCGCTTTAACTCGCTCTCTTCCAGGTGCAATTTATGCCGAGAAAAGGGGAAGAGGGAATATAAACTCTCAAAAACAGTTTTAAAATTGACTTTTCCCCCCTTAAGGAGCCTGTCTGACAGGATCTGTAAACGATGAACAAAATTAAAAACATTACAAAAATAAAAACGTTTTTACAAAACAAACAAAATGCTGGACACAGAAAAAAAACAAAACAAACAAAACCAAAAAATGAAATATGTTTCCAGAGTGAACGAAAATACAGAAAGTTATTGCACAAAAAATGTAAAGGTTGCGTGATGTGTACAGTCAATACGGTGGGGATCTCTGGAAACATCTCGAGTGCAGGATTCGAAGCCAGCGTTTCACATACATACACCCCGATACAACAAACAAACAACCACTTGAAATCCACTGAATCCAGTTTGTCCCACATGTGAAGGGTGTCACGTTTAGATCGAAAATATGAGGACAGGAAACCAACAGAGCATGAAACACACACAAACATACACAAAAAAGGAACGTTTCACCTGTCAACCAGGAAGTTGTGGATTAGATGATCGAAAAACAAAAACAAAAAAAACCAGTTCCTGTTCTCGAAGCTTCCTCAGGAAGACTGCACAGGTCAAAAAAAAACAAAACAAGTCGACATATACATGCACAGATTCAATGCCAGACTGAACTACTTAGCACCACCGTCACCACAACTACTGAACAAGGAGCTGGGTTACAAACGCTGGTCTCTCTGTGCTCACACCATCAGCAGGAGGGCTCAAGGAGTTCTCGTCGTTTTAAGATGGGACCGGAGAGGTGGAAGAGGAAGCGAGGAGTGGAGAGGGAGCTTCCGGAGGGGAGGCACGAGGTCTTTATCTGCTGACGCTGGCCGGCAGACTGTCCCTCTTCCTGCGGCGCCAGGTGTGGCGGTTGTACTGGATGTGGCCTCGGTTGGAAAGGACGGGACTGTGCACCACGGCGGGGTTGTGGAAGCCCTTCAGCGGGAACTTGGGACCTGTCTGCAGGAGATAAGACAAGATAGGGTAACTTAGGATGATGCTAGCATCTGAAAAATGGCTCAGCATACATAAAAACTGGATTATAAAAAAAAACAAACAAATGCATATCATTCGAAAGTCTGGGTACAGCAATTATTTTGAAAAGTAATATTCATTTGTATTATTATTTTTACTCCGCAAAGATGCCAAAAGTAACAGCAAAGAGGGCCCTTAAAGCACACTAAATCCACACTCTGGAGCGCTATTCGAGACTTAGTGTATCCCATCATTCATCATGTTTTGGAATAACTCATGAGATTTTTGCCGAGATCTTGTGAGAGGTCACGGAAACCTTTTCAATGCAAGTTAGATATTAATATAATAAGTAGACAGGGCTTATTATTACATATAATTTGGTAGAAAAACAAAGTGTTGCACGTTTTATTAGTGCAAAGATGAGTAGTGGTGATATTTGTTTCGTACAACATTTGCAACTGCTTTTCATACTTAATTAGAAGCACAACAAATTGAATTGTGTCATGTTATAGGGACTACTGAACAGACATTTAGAAGTTGATTTTACAATGCAAAGTATTTAAAATAAAAATAACGCTATGTAAACACTTGCATTTTTACAACACTATAAAGTGTGTCCCATCAGGTAATGAAAAGTTGTACACACTTGTGCACTTTGAAAGTGCAAAGACTGCAAAAGTGGGTATTTGGACAAGGGAATATTTTAATCAACACTGGTCTTTTGAACTTTATATTCAAAGAATACTGAAAAAAGAGAAAAAATGTTTCCACAAAAATATTAAGCAGCACAATTCTTCAACATTGATAATAATAATAAATGTTCACTTGGCAGCAAATTGGCATTTTAAAAAACAAATAGAAATGTTATTTAATTAGTTCTCAATATTTTAATTAAATTTCACAATATTACTGCTTTCATTGTATATTTGGTAAAAAAAAAAAAAAAAAAAGGAAATAAACAAAATCTTATTAACACCAAACTTTTGATCAGTAGTGTAAATAAAATAATAATTTTAAAGACGACTTTTTTTAAATGCAATAAAAGCAAAACGTTGCTCTCTAGACTGCATGTTAACTGTAGACTTTCCATGGTAAACTGCAAATAAATAAAAATAAAAAATAAATGAATATAAGACACAAAAATGGAGTGGTGCAACACAAAGTTATCTTTAGCTTACTCACTGTATGGCTTTTTTTCAGTACAGCATTTTAAAAAATATTTTTTATGAAAAGTGCTATAAAAATCTAAACTTAAGTGATTTTTTTCTAGTATTGATACATGGGTAGAGCAAGACAAGCTGATGAAACATTACTCATTTGAATAAAAAAAAAACAACAACAACAAACTTTCCATTTAAATAAAGTTTCTCAAAACCTGAATTGAATTCTTGATGCTGATTTGACATTGCTGGGCACTGAATTTCTTCCTCTTAATTAAAAGTATAGTTCACCCTAAAAATTTAATTTTGTCATCATTTACTTACCATCATGTTGTTGCAAACCTGTGTGACTGTCTGTCATCTGTGGGACACAAAAGATGATAGCTCTGGATCCCATTGACTTCCACTGTGTGGTCAAAAAATACAATAGAAGTCAACGGGAACTGAAACTGTTTGGTTACCAAAGTCTTCAGAAGAAAGTGAGTCATAAAGGTTTGAAACGACATGAGGGTGAGTTAATGTTGACATTTAATTTTGGAGTAGACCGTCTTTTTACTTTGTCATTAGACTAGACTGTGAAGTCTTGATGAAGGAGGGAAAGTCGGGCTCACTGTCAAGAAGATACACACAACATCTAGAGCACACGCAGGACACTGCCTACCTTGGGATGGTGGTGGGGACTGGGGGGAGCTGGGGGGACTGCAGGGGGGGGCATGTGGAAGTATGGGGGTAGTCCATCTGCCATACACACCTGTCTGCCAGGTAGAGCGTGGACCGAAAGACTGCTGGGGATTGACACTCTCGCCTGGAGAAACACAGAGAGGAAGCTACCTACCCATCAAAGAATCTTCATCATCAAATTCAACTATTAACCAAAACAGCCCCTCACCTGGGCAGCCGGAGGCATGGTGACAAAATCTTACAATTATATTATTTTTGATATTTGATATTCGTATTTGATAAATTAGGGTTTTATGGTTTTTATACCCTGGTGCAGTAGCTGATATTAATATGGGCAAAAGATGAAATTCTGATATCTTGTAATGCAAATCAATGAGATCTTTATAAGCACATAACAGACTACGTACATAAAATACATATAAATATCATTTGTCACTATATCTCCCAATAATGACGACTTAGTAAGATGATATTTAAATGCTTAGTTTTTGCTTAGCAGAGCTCTATAGCTTCCATATTATCATATTACCAACATAAATTTATTGAGAGATGAACAAATAAACAATCCTCAGAAGCCTGATTCATATTTAATACGCACATTTGAACACAAATTTTATAAAAATATAAGGTATAGATAACCAAATAAAGCTAAGTTTCTTTAGGTCAGTAAATGTTCATGGGTCAAAGACAAAAAGGACGTTCAAAAATCAAAACAATAAAAGTTTAATACAGTTTAATTACATAAATACGTCAGTTACACTGAATGATGATGATTATTTTCACCCATTTTCTGACATCTTAAATTTTCACAAAAGTTATTTGAAGCATTAAAGCTGACACTTTACTTACATTTAATATACTTTTTATGCATATAAAACATAAAAACTCGGTTTTCACTATTTAATTTAATGCAGACACCAAATTGGGACCTCTCGTCTTTGACCCTCATCTTTAAATGTCACCAACAACAATATTAAAGCTATTCTTACATTTGCTTTATAAAAATCATTAAAGTTTTCACAGCAAAAAGACACATGAACCACAACCTAATAAGAGAGGTTTTTACAATTACACTAAAAGGCCTATTACTTCCAATAAAAAAATAAATAAACTAACAATCAGACAACAGAAGGCATTTAGTAGAGATGGTGCACTACAGCTGTTTCACAAACGTTTCGACTGAGATCATTTAGAGGCCTTAAAATGTTGAATATCCTGTGTAATGCAGTATGTTTATAGGGTTGTATGGACATGGATGAAAGGCAATGCTTACGATATCACTGCCTGACAGCGAGGACGCAGAAGAGGCGGAGGAGTGCTGTTGAGGGCTGGAGAGGGACATGGGGGAGTCTGCGCTGTGAGGAGACACCGAGTCCCTCTGCTGCTGGTCCTCCACACCTACACCCAGCAGTGTGCCTGTCTCCACCTGCCCCACGGAGTCTTTATGAGATGGACCTGCATGCAGAAGACACCCAAACATCAGCCATACACGACTACAAATTACACAGAATCAGAGCAGGTTATGGGCGGATTCGCTGCAGAGCAGGTAACGGACTGTCAAAGAAGACTGAGGGCCACTTTTCAAAAGGTCACATACTCCATTTCCAAACTAAGCTACCAAGCGTCAGTTTAAGAAAACACATTAAATCACAAAAGTCAAGAATAAGATGTGTAAAAGGGATAAAATGCACTTCAAGGGTACCTACAAAGTTACGCTGCATCAGAAAATGTTTCAAATCCATTGACATCAATGCAATGTAAAAACAAAATGCAAGGGTTTGCCAAAGTGACACTTCATTACTGCAAACAGCAGCTGCTGCAAAGCACTCTGACACAGGCATTTGTTGACCAATGAAATGTTATGCTTTCATCAGACAAAAGAGTCCAGTTTAATTTCTTTGTATTAACTTTAGAATATATTTACTTAATTTCTCATTTGTCCAAAATCTAGACCTGTGGTCCTTAACCAGAATTCTGGGTCCACTAGAGGGCCTTCTTTTAACATTTATATCATTATTGTTTTTCCTTCGAAAGAGTTTCTGCAGTCTAGAAAAACTTAGATATATAAGGAAGCCTAATTAAAAAAAAAAAAAAGTGATTTAGACCTGGATGTGTCATGTAAATGAATCTTAAAACATCTTTGCTATTTTTTATAAAGACAATACAAATTTTCTATTCATGCTAAGTTCTAAAGCATTTTATTAAGTAGAATTTTTTTTTCCAAAAATCCTAATCCAATATATCACAAACGTCTGAAAAAGCCATCTAATAAATAACGTAAAATTAAAAAGTTAGCTCTTAACACGTCTGGCTTCCGAAATTCTAAAAATGCAATTATTTTCGTTACTCCTAGTTTCTGTGAAATAATAAAATGTTTTGACATAACTATCATGGCAGATTTACTAGAGGAAGACTATAAGACTATTAGACTATTTAGGGTAATGTGCCGTCTTAAAAGTCATCCTAACATTGCTGTAAAACTTCTTGAACACCAGAACATCAGTGACTGGTCCACTCAGATGGTCTATAATGCCTTATCAATGAGTATTGCGCATTATGAAGTTCAATCAAAAACACAAACATCCTGAATGAAATTCACTTAGTATCTGAAGCCGTAACAGGTACATTGTGAGAAAGTGTCTTCATATTCAGACGCACCCTTGTTCCTCTCAATGTGGGCGTTGTGTCTGCAACCCCACTTCTTTATGATCCACTCCCTGTAGTTGATGACTTCCTGGGTGACTTTAATTATGCGGCCCAAAGTGCTGAGGGGACAAGATAAGTGGCTAATTAAATCAAGAGTTTGAGAGAACTAGGGTGAAGGTGCTTGTATGCAGATGAGAGCTGTACCTGTCACTGTCTTTATTGGGGTAAGAACGTGCGAGAGGTGAGACGGCGTGACCCAATATTATATACGCATAGTCAAAAGCCTCCTTCACCTGCATGGCACCATACGAGCTTCTGCCCACGTCATTACCTAAACAATCATGGAAAACAAAAAACATACAAACATATTATATTATATACATACACACATACAATACATATATAAACAATTTTTCACTGCTTATGATTCTTCTGTAATTATGTGGTGCTAATTATTGTACTTACATACACACATATATATATGAAGTATATATATATATGTGAAATCTGTCCTAAAACATAGGCAGCTGCCTTTTTAGATACCTTGTTTTGGCCAAATATGGATTCATTGAAAAAGCAATACAAGAATGCATTGCGGAGAGCAACGTGACCAAAGACGTTGAAAGAACATAAATTTTATTCCATGCCATAATGCAGGTTTTCCTAAACTATAAATTAAATCATAAAACACATAATGTTAAACTGACATATTCTCAGAGGGAACTTCAAGTAATATTTAAAGGGTTCTTGCTGACAAAACAAAAAATTCAGAAATCTCTGCCATAAAACATTGGCGTAAAATACATGTTTTTCTGCTTATTAGATTATTAATATGTTGAGCAACATGCTAAACCAAACTGTACTGAAATTAACTGAGCCGATTATTCATGTGAGAAATTAGTGAAATTGGTCATTTATGAGGTTCCAATTTAGTTAGGATGCGGTCTCAGAAACTAGCTGCCAATGTAGGCAGTAAACAAGAAGCCCACTAGGTTTTGCATTATTGGAACAATTTTTAGATAAACAGCTTGAACAGTACCTGGAAGAAGAGGGTCCTCGATACAGAGCATGGAGGGCCTGTAGCCATTACTCATGGCTTTCATGATGTCCTCTTTAGCCATGTAAGCGCCGCCGTTCTTTATCCTGATGCCCGTCTTCAGGTAGTTGAAGTGTCTTCCATACAGCTCGAAGAACTCGATGAGCAGAATGCCAAGGTTCATATTGGGATTCCTAGCATCAATTCTTGGGTGTAACTGCGGGTGTAAGCCCCCCCCCCAAAAAAAAAAAACAGTAGGCAAAATGAGACACTATTTGTTTGGTACAGTCATTTATGAAATGAGTGTGGCTGACAAAGGTAGTAAAATATGCTTGACAAGTAATGACAGATCTCTAAATGAGACGAGATCAAGCTATTTTTATTATGAAACACTCTTAACGCTTCTCTTCGTCTGCATGTCGTGACAGTTTTCAGACCGGCTGCTAATATTGCACCTGTAAGAAGCTGATGACCATCAGGATGAGACTGTAGGAGCTGATTCCTCCCGTGAAGACTTCGTTGAGGTCTCGCTGCAGCAGGAACTGCTTCAGCACTAAAATTAAATAAGGCAGCACGGTATACTTCTGTGTGGGAGAACAAAAGAAGGTATTTTAGAAAAAAACAAAAACAAACCTCATTTACTCCAGCATTAAGAGGTATCTCAAAAGCGACTCTATTTAACACTTGAATGATCACAGCAAGGTTTTTTTTAATGAAAGGGTATTTTTTACGATACAATAGTGTCTCATTACAAGTTGACATAAGGAATATCGAAAGTGTTTCGTGAAGCCTTGCGCATGTATGTGCCTAAAACACAGGAACTGCATACATGGTTGTCTTTCACAGTAGATAAAATGCAGCTGTTCGGAAGCTGCAGAAATATTTACATAAGGTGAAGTGTTATGATAACTGGGGACGGGCCAATACATCTTACATTCCTCCACCATGTAAGAACGACACCGTCTTATAGGTTTTGGGTGTCATTCACTATTGGAGTGTTTCAAGTCCTCCTGGGAAGTTTGAATTTACGAGTTAGGAAGTCAATTACGATGTCTAACGTCGTAAAAAACAAAAAAAAAAAACAAACAAAAAAAACACAATAGTTGACACACAATATCTGTGTGAGCTATGTATTACGTTTATTAAATTATTAAGGTGTTACCTTAAAAATATGCTAACATCAAACTACTTTGAAATCAATAGCGAGCTGAGTCTCAGTGCCCTTCACATTCATCACCAATGAGGTTCCAATTAACTTAGGATGCTGCCCTAGAATATAACTGTCTGTGTAGGCAGTAGACAGCAAGAAGCTCACTAGTTCATATTTACAAGCTGGGAAGTCATAATTATGACATCAGGTGTGAAGTACCATTTCTACAAAAAACAAAAAAAAATCAGCAAGATTTAACACTACTTCTACAAAATGATGACTAAAGAATGTGCAACAGGTGCGTTTTTGCTTTGTTTTTATTCAATTTATGAAGGTGCTGTAAATTGAATCTTTATACGCTATGATAAATGTATATAAATAACACTATCATATATTTAGTTTTATATTTAAGCCCCAAGCTTCTAAATTTCCCCACTTGTAATTACTTTGTTCATGAGAGTTCAACTAACAAATATGATCTTGCTGACATGAACTGAACATCCAATAATAACTGTTTGGATTATTTTGTGTTTGTATGCACAAAATACAGTGAATGGAAATCTTACAGTATTACAGTTAGTCGATCTAAAACGGTGATTGTGCATTAACAGCTGTCAAACATGTAGGCATGCAAACGAGCGGTCTGAACTTATTTACACAGCGCATTTTTTATTTTGGTTGCACATGCACACCTGCATACCATACTTTTTGTGAATCAGATGCTGTTCTCTGTAGTCCTTCATAGAAAATGCCACATTGTGACATTACCTTTGCATACACCCTTTTTTTTTTTTTTACAAAAAGCAAACAAATAAAAAATAAATAATAATAATAATAATATTATTATTTATATTTATATTTATATATATATAGCACTATTTTGGACTGATTCAAAAGATAAAAAAAGACAGCTTTGGGACACTTAATTTTACACCTACAATAATCGTGCAACTTATAAAATCCATCTGAAGGAGCATGTTTATCAATATATTTTAGTACAACAGTTAGTTAAATTATGATTGGTAACTCATGTATAGATTTGTGTGCATGCACGTTTAGTGAATCAGACCCTTTATCCCTAAATCTCCTCTGATAGATGTACAGATGAGAGCTATGAAGGTGATCTTGCGGTCACAGAGCAGTACAGCAGGTATACACATGGAAATGAGCTTGGCAGAAGAGCATTAAGGCAGCAGGTCATCTCCTTATTCAAACATCTGCACTGAAAGCTTGCTGACAGATGTTCAGTTATGCTTCACCCTCCTCCTCTCTTTAGTCTAACACTGACACTTTAAGCCTGACATCAAATTAGCAAACATGGAGCAAATCTAGGACACATAAAACATGTAAATACAAGTAGGATTCAAAATGTACATCCTGCCTTTAGCAGGTGGGCCAAACGAACTAAAAAAAACATTTATATACATAAATAGCAGCACCACACCGTGGTCAGTCCCATAGCAAAATGCTTCTTATACTGGAACGTCGCCACACAGAGTTCCAGAGTCCCTACAATAACAGAATTCATTTTGACTTTGAAGCCAAACTTTAAGCAACAGTCAAGCCTTTCATTTGTATATCCTTTGTGTATAATGAATCAGGTCAAAGCACTTTTATCAGTGATCGCCAGACTGTCATTACTGGCTTGGGACTTAAAAGTACAGCAGTAAGTAACACCGCAATGGCCAATGCCCATACAATGTTTTCACAAGAAAATGTAGAAAGATTTATGCAAAAATGTAACCATAAGACTGTTGGGAATTGCCTACATGAGCTGAAAGAACTGAAGACTGGTAAACTGCTTTGCTTTTGTTCACTAAAACATATGCAAGATTAATCCGCTGTAGTCACGACATAAAATGTACAACTTACATTTACAAAGAAAAGGAAAAGGAACATTAGCAAAGTTGAACTAAATTACATTAGTCCCAATGTGTCAATAAGGCTCTTTTTCAGCTTGATATGTTCTCATCTTTTTGCATATTATAGACAATTAAAATATTACTATTACAAATAAAATGATTTGTATGGAAAGTAAAAACGGACAATATATATTGAATATGACATGACTTTTTCATCAAAACTCCATGTACTAGAACTAAACAAAACGACCAAAAATATAGTAAAACAATAATACTGTGAAATACTACAATTCAAAATAAGTTTTCTATTTGAAAATTAAAATGTAATTTATTCCTGGCATGAAAAGCTGAATTTTCTGCAGCCATTACACTGGTTTTCAGTGTCACATGATCATTAAGACATTTTTTTTTTTTTTTGAATGATGCATTTATATAGCTTTTTTTTTCAGGATTCTTTAATTGACAAAGCATTTATTTGAAATAGAAATCTCGATCACAAAAGTTTTTACTCTCAAGTTGAACTGTCTATTATCCGCTACAGTTTGACATGCTGTCATTTTGCAAATAATGACAAATAAAATGTTATTTTTAGAGACTAAAACAAAGTGATATGCTACTTTAGCGAGACTAACACTATTGAACGACGTGTCCTTCAAATTTAGTAGTTAATCAAAATTTGATACATACACTATAACTAAAACAAAAACGTATAAATGAACACAGCAATAAATACAAGTAAACCAGCAAACAATATTCAGACATTCAGCCCATCTTGAAACTATACATTTAGTCTAGTTTTACAAAATTTTGTAAAATTAGATTTACAAAATATGCCAAAACCTTTTTTTTTTTACCTTCACATATTCTTTGATGAAGCTAGCAGCTTTGATGCCCGTCTCCACGTTAAAACTTATGTCCACTTTCACCTCGGTCTCCTGATCTGTCAGTTTGATGATTGGTACCTTCAAAATTCAAAGATATGAATATAACATAATTAATGACCAAGAATCCCCCAAATGTAAAAAATTAAAACAAAGCATCCAAAGGGGATCCATTCAAGCAACAACCACTGAATATGAAACTGTTTAACTGAGCGTAGTTGATGTTAAAGCAACAGAGGGAAACTCTTACCGTAGCTTTGTCGAGAACTTTGATGGAATAAGGTTCTGCCACATTGTGTTTTCTGAGCGCCTGCTCCAGCTGCTGCAGCGGAGGTTTCTCCCATTTCCCAAACACCACCAGGTCAATGTCACTACAGTGTAAAAGAATCAGCCAGATTCAGGTTTAAGCAATTTGTCAAAATCAACACTCTCTATGAAGCCTAACGAAAGCCCACATATCACATGAAAACAAAAACATCAAATAAACTCACATTCATGGTCTTCTTAGTAGTGTTCAGACAAATACATGAGGCCTACTGACTAACATTAACACAAGGAAAATCTTTCCAGCTTTAGAGACCAATTTTTTTGGACTGTACAAGTTTTACAAGCTACAGATCTAAGATCATTTGTGCCTAGGCGATAAAACGGTATCGATATTTATCGACGGTACACCTTCTTCGATAACGATAGAAAAAAATGTTGATATAGCGCACAATATAGGCACGTGCTATGAGTGATGCAGACAGCACACACAAAGATGAACACATGCTGAAATGAGTGCTGTGCCTGCCTGTGATGAGGAGATTGTGAATAAAGAATGAATATTAGTCGAATTTAAAATAAACATTTACATTTGAATGTTAGGTGTGCGTCAGGGAGCATCATCAGTGGAGCACGAGATGCGGTAATGATGTTGTAAGTGACGTTGTTGCATTTTAATGTTTTGTTAGTCTAGCCCACGAGATGCGTCGCTGTTGTGTTATGCATTCAAAATATTAGAGAAATATAGAAGCTCAATGCGGAGAAGATCTTGATTAGGTTCAAACCATTCACACAGAACGCATATTCAGCGCATTTTTTAGACAGACAAAATTATGACTGCTGCGCTCGCGTCTCACACAAGAGATTTATAGAAAGCCATGCAAAGTTAAAACCGTTTAAACTTTTAGAAAACACGTCACGAATTTGTGGAGGTTTATTCCTTTTCACTGCGTCTCTTATGTTTTTAAATGCAATCTGTGTGAATCGGCTCTTTTGATTAAGCAATGCATAAATACATGATGCTGTTTTGTTCATAATTGTTTATGCAATTTACGAAATTATATTAGATTTTTAT